CTACAAGAAATAATAAATCGTCATTGCTTTAACCCACACATATCAAGACAGTTTGAGATATAGCAATAAAGAACTTGATTCCTAGATGGAATAAAAATATACCAGCCCTCACAAAGATTGAGGTCCAGCTTAAAGCAAAACAAAAATTGATCCAGCTGGAGATGTGGCTCAAGAGGTAGAGGGCTTGCCTAACAAACATAAAGCCCAGAGTTCAAACCCCAGCATGACCAAAAACAAAACCTGACTCCCTAGTTGAACTAAATTGCTCATCATCTCTACTTCCAGCTACCTGCAAGAGCCAAAGTAAATGTTTGCTTAATGAAGGTAACACCAAGAACACCAGGTCATCACCATAGTTTTAGCCATGCAATATCCAATTTTAAAAAACCACTATGTTTGTAAAAATATAAGAACTGACAAAAAAATAAGGCAACAGAAACAAACCCATGGGAAGTCCAGATATGGAAATTATCAGACACAGACTATAAAACAACTATGACTATTTTAAATGACAAGATAGTTTCGGCAGATGTGAAAGCCATAAAAAAGAATCAAGGGTAAATTAAAGAATTTAAATATGTAATAAATAAAATGAAGAACTCAATAAAAGGATTTAACAGCAGATAACATACAGCTGAAGATGGTATCTATGAACTAGAAGAGAGGACAGAAGTATCTAGACTGAAGCAGAGTGACAAAAGAATAGAAAATAAGCATAGGAGATGGATGTGGCTCAGTGAAAAGGTCTCATATGAATGTAACTGAAGTCCCAAAAGAGAAGAAAGAATGAAACAGAAGCAACATATGAAAAATAATGACCATCCGGGTATGGTGGTGCACACCTATAATTCCAGCATCTAAGAGGATGAGGTAGGAAGATTGGGAGTTCCAGTTCAGCTTGGGCTGCATAGCAAGATCCTGTCTCAAAACAATAATAATGACCAACAATTTTCCAAATTAAGGAAAGATCTAAGCTACATATTCAAGAAATTTCCAGCAACAGAGAAGACTACATTTAGACATCATAGTAAAGCTGCTAGAAGGGGAAAACAAAAAGACCAAGATCAGCTGTGGATGCCTGTAAGTAATAGAGCACTCACCAGCATGCATAAGGCCCGGGGACCAATTCCCTGCACAAGGAAGGAAGGATGGGAGGAGGGCAAGGAGGGAGGGAGGGAAAAAGAGAGAGAGAGTGAGGGAGGGAGGGAGAGAGAGAAAATTTTTAAGAAAGAAAGAAATCAAAGATTGTATATTGAGAAAACAAAGCTCCACCAACTCTTGGTTTCAAAGAGGTTATCTAGGAAGGCTAACAGGTTTTACCCTCTAACTGGTTTCTCCGCCTCCACTGTTCCTCCCTTGTAACCATTCTTCACATGGCAGTTAGGTTCATCTTCCTGAAATTTAAGAAACATCATATCAGACAGGTACTGGTGGCTCACACCTGTAATCCTACTTGGGAGGCTGAGATCAGGATGACTGAGGTCCAAGGCCAGCCAGGGCAAAGAGTTGGTGAGATTCCCATCTCCAAAATAACCAGAGCAAAATGGACTGGAGGTGTGGCTCAAGCAGGAGAGTGCTTGCTTTGCAAGCACAAAGCCCTGAGTTCAAACCCCAGTCCCAAGAAAGAAACCTCAAAACTATCATGTCTCTTCACATAAATCTTCAGTGGCTTTTAATCAATCAGAATAAAATTCAAACTCCCCATCACAGCTTATGTGGCCCTCTTGGATCTGGTATCACTCTTTCTAGCTTCCTTTCTCTCTCTTACCTCTCTAGAATGCTACACTCTACCGGCATAGAGTCATACTCTACTGGTTTTTTCTCTAAATTGCTTCACTCTCACCCACCACAGGACTTTTGTACATGCTAGTCCCATTCTTTGGAATTTTCCCCTTAATCTCTTGGCTTTCCTACTTTCTTTCACACTGTTCTTTAAATGTCATTTCCTTTCCAGATTTCCTAGACTGGGTAATTTATCTCTAGAGAGCAAGAATTTGCCCTTTACATCCTGAAATTCTGCTATCAAAGCATTTATCATATTTTATGATTGTTACTTGTCTATTTCACACTATCTACAGTAAGTTCCAAAAGGATAAAACCTGTGCATGTCTTGCTCATGTCTCCTTAGTCCTTAGCCTGACTCAAATAGACACTCAGTGAATAACTTAAAAATTACTAATTAATATTAGAATCCTTCATATCTTGTCTTCAAGATAGTCCATCATACTTTACCTCTAGTCCTAGCTATCTTTTTCTTTTGAAATTTCTAGAGGAAATATGTCAACTGAATGCGATAATTTCTTTGAAGTCTTTTTTTACATCTTCTGGATTTGACTGTGTTGAAAAATGTAAACAAAAAGTATGAATAACACTTTCTGGATTTTACTACATTAAAAATAAAAATGTAAATGAAAAGTATGAATATTCATATCATAGGTCCTACCCATGCTCTCCCAGCTTAACAGGATTCAAAGTACTCACTTGCCTTCTTACAGGCAAAAAATTGTGATTTTACTACTTGCATCCTCAAATGACACTCTGGCTTTTCAGCCACTCTAGGATCTGGTTCAAAAATGGCCTTCTTTGTTTTTTGTAGGCTTTTGTGGCTCCTTTCCAGTTTTTATCACAGACTTTGTTTTTCTCTGCTTCCTTCTCTGCTTCCTCTTCTCAGCTAAGCAACAGCTTCCTCTGTCATGTTCTATAAACCTGCCACTGTTGATGAGTCTTTTTATGTGCCATCTGAATTGGCCGGCTCTGTCTCATTACCTCTAAGGCTCTCTCTCTCATCTTAGTGGCAAACAATTTTGTCTTGACCTGTTACTTTCTCTCCTCTAATTCATTTCCTAATTTAGTCACTAAATTAACTCTTCAAACACAGGGCAAAATTGAATGCTCTCATTTTGCCATCATCAAATTGCTTTGTTCCCTTTCATAATCAGTGCCAAGAACAGGACCTGGTACCTGATAAGTGGTATATATTTGTTGAGTAAATAAAATACATTAGCATGTACTCTATGACAGGCTGCTTACCTCAAGTTAAGATTGCTTTTATTCTTCATCTGCCACATATATTTAAAATTTTGTTCATATCTAGAAGTTGATAACACTTACTGAAACTTCATTTCAGTATCTACTTTGTGATCCATTCCAGTAACAGGCATTCTTCTCTAGTACATTCCTTTTTTCACTGTTGTTCAAAAGTGGAAGGATTTGTTTTGTAATTTTCACTCACAAATTAAGAGACTTCACTTCTTTTGGATATGAGGCCTAGGCTTGTCTAGAATGTAAACTTTAATAAGAACACTGAACACAGTAGTTACTTCATTTAAATGTAAACAATAATGAGAAATTCACCCTGTAAGTCAAATTGCTGGAATTTGTAGATACAGGTGGCAAATTACTAGGCCAGAAGGGTTCACGGTCCAGGGAAGTTAGCAAGTAGGTAGCCAGAGCATAAGAGGTGCTCAAACTCCTTTTGCAGGAAAGCGTTAACTCTACTTGGGCCCATGAATAAACTAAAAGCAGAAGAAGCATGGCATCTGTCCTCCATTTTGTATCTGTCTTTGCTCTAAGCCATTTTCTCTGCAGTTGCCCTGCAAACTCCTTGGGATCAAGGAAGGACAGGACTGATCCATTAACACCTTCATTACAAGAGATGGAAACTAGCAACAGTAGACCCTTTTTTGGATGGACCACCCTCCAGACAGCAACTCCGAGAACCTTCCCCAGAACAAGAACTGAGATAATGACCAACCAGACCACACCTGTTTATGCATATCCTTTGTCCCCTGCCCCTAGTTCTTTTTCTACTTAAACCTATAGCTCCTGTCTATACCCTGAAGATGGGCTGGGTGCTTACTCTGCCTCTTCCCAGGGCACGTCCCCAGCCACGTAATAAACTTTCTCTGCTTTTGCCATGCCTCTTTTTTGGTGTTTAGGGGCAGATGGCCAGACCTGACATGTGGAATCCCAGGAGTTTGGGCCTTGGGTCCAACACTCCGGTTTCAAGAGATGGAAAAGGTGCTGGGGTCTTGAAAGAGAACCTAGGAGCCTGAATTGGAGGAACCTGCATTTCCTAGGCAGGGACTCACAAAGTGGCCCCAGATTGCCAGTACTGAGGTAGAAAGAGAAGGCAAAGGGGAGCAGGCCTCTAAAGAGAGCAATGCTGAAAACAGGGCGAGGATAGGGTCGGAGTGCACCCCAAAGAGTGTGTCCCGTGCCAAAGCCTGCGTTGCACTGTGGGCTGGTGGCCGGCCTGGCCTGGCCGGTCCAGAAGGTCCAGAAGCAGAGGTCCAGAAGGCTCTCAGGCGCCTGTTTCATATGGAGGTCATCATAGGGAGCGCCGGATTCCGGTTTCGGGTCGTTACTGTAGAGTCTGGTCTAAGTGTGGGGGGCAGATGGACAAAGCCGGCTGGGACTGGGCGCTGGTCCGCACCGTCTGGGGCCCGGGTGCGCGCGGGCGGCAGCCAGGGCTCGCTCGGCAGGGACGTCTGCGGCGAGTGTCCGTGGGGCTGCGTGCGTTTCCTCAGGACTGCAGGGGTCTCCTGCTCCCCCCAACCTCCAGGGCAATGGGGGTCCTGAGGGCTCTGGGCGCAGGCGAGCGGCGTCCGGCGGCGGAGCACGGTCGGCAGGGGGACCGCGGTGACACCCGTCCTGGGGCAACCTGTTGCAGGAGAACCGAGCGGACGGAGGACGCGACGCCGCAGGCCCGCCCTCGCCTGGGCCCGGCGCGCGGCCGCCCTTCCACCTCCGACACGCTCCGCGGCGGCCCCGCCCTGCGCTCCTGCCTCCGAAACGCCCAGCCAACGGCCCCCGCCAGCCTCCGACGCCTGGGAACAACCCGCCGCCGCCGCTGCTCCAGCGGCTTCCGGGAGCGGAGGCGCGGCCCCGCGCGGGAGGAGGAGCAGGCCAACATGGCGGCGCGCAGGGCAGGGCCGGGCAGCCGCGCCTGAGCGCCCACCGTCCCGGCTTCGGCCCGCGGCGCCCACGCCCGCACCCAACCTGGCCGGGCGGCCGCGGAGCACGCGGGGCAGGAGCGCGGGAGTCCGCGCGGCCCGCCAGGCCCGGGACCCGCAGCTTCGCCGCTCGCCGGGCGCCGCGGCCCGGAGGCCCGAGCCATGGAATCGGAGGAGGAGCAGCACATGACCACGCTTCTGTGCATGGGCTTCTCGGACCCCGCCACCATCCGCAAGGCCCTGCGCCTGGCCAAGAACGATATCAATGAGGCCGTGGCGCTGCTCACCAACGAGCGGCCGGGCCTTGACTACGGTGGCTATGAGCCCATGGACAGCGGCGGCGGCCCCAGCCCGGGTCCCGGCGGCGGCCCGCGCGGCGACGGCGGCGGTGACGGCGGCGGCCCTTCCCGCGGCGGGAGCACCGGAGGCGGCGGCGGCTTCGACCCCCCGCCTGCCTACCACGAGGTGGTGGACGCGGAGGTGAGCAGGACCCCCCACCCCCGCGAAAGAGGTCACTGGGCCGGAGTCCCCGTAGGGAGGGAACACACCGCACCCGGCTTGCCCCGGAGAGCGTTCTGCGGGGGCTGCAACGGGGAGTGGGAGGCGCAGAGAAAGAGAATGGAGGCCCGACTCCAGGCAGGGACAGAGGTCGCTGGACTGGGGTCAAGTGCGGGGAGGAGTCCGAATGGAGTTAGTCTTGGGTAGGGGCCCTCCGGGATGGGGAACTGGGTCCCGAGCCTGCATCCCCCGTGGGGAGACGGATGCATTCTCCTGGAGGAGTGGGGACATGAGTCGGGGGGGCGGCGCGAGGATCAGGCGTCAGAAATGGGTTAGATAGGGTCGTAGATAACCGTGGTACGGGGTTACAGCGAAGGACTGGAGAAGGCAGCAGGTTCAGAATCAGAGTCAAAGTGGGATGGGCCAGCCAGAAGGGAGGGTGTTGATAGGGTCAGAGGAGAACGGTTGGGGTTAAGAATGGAATTTGTGCTTTTAGCTAGGGGTCAGAAAGGGAGGACATTGACCAAGGTCTGAAATGCAGAGGAATTGGGCAGGGCCAGGAATTATAGGAATTAATATAAGGTGGGGGTGGAGGCCCAGCTATGATAGACTGGGTTGGAGGGACGGCTTTACTAAAGTCAGGTATTGTAGCAGGTAGTGGGAATTGGACTGAGAAAAGGTACAGGTAGGAGGCCTGGGCGGGGATGGGAGCTGAGGAGGAAGCAGGCAGTGATGAGGACTGGAATTGAAGGACGAGTGAGGGGACTACTGGCCATAGATAAGGGCAGAAAGAAAAGGAAGTTAGATTGGGGAGAGGATTGTAGCCAGCCATGGTGAAGGTGAGGTGCAGAGGGTAGGTAGGGCAGGGAGTGAGGAGGAGTGTACTGAGGAGCAGACTAGTGGCTTTCATCAGACATCTCAAGTTCAAGTGAAGAAAACTAGGCCTCTTTAGTTTGGGGTGTGAGCAAGGACCATGGGAGAAGAAGGCTTACTAAAATAAGGAGAAGCAACTGTGCTCGTGATTAATTACTTTGGAGAAAAATGGCAGCTAGTGGCAGGAATTTTGTTCATGTTCATTGGATGGTGCATTTCAGGGTCCAGGGGAGCACTTTGGCCTGACCACAGAAGAGCCCAGATTCGTGAGTTTGTGTTCTTAGACAAATTTGGCTATTTTTAGTGAAGCTAAGCCTTCTGGAAGTTTTTCCTGTTTTTGCAGTAGTTGTTCAGGCTGAAGGAGTTTGGGAAAGAAGGTGGAACTTCAGAACAAAACAACAAAACAGGTTTCTGCACAAGATTTCTTTGGTTTCCAGGCTTTCACATACTTGTTAGATGGGCCTCTGTCACCCACTAACTCATCTGTGTCGAGAAATATGTGGAAGTAAAGACTTACTGTTCCTGTTTGGAAGTTTAGAAAAACTCCTGAATCATTATAACTGTATATAAGTCACTTTTAAGGAATAAACATCTTGCCAGTGCCCTTTACCCCTCCCCCTTCCTCATGCCAGTTTTGAAAAAAGCTATTGCTTTTTTCCAAAAGTGTTTGTATGTGTCTGTGTATCCCCATCATGTGAGAAATTTTATTTTATTTTATGATTGCATATTTCACTTCCTATGATTAGAAATCTAAAGTAAATGATAATATTTGGTGGTGCATTGCCATTAGCCTACCTCCTGTATATTTAAGTATGAGGAATTTGGAGTGGCTTCTTGTGAGGCAAATGATAGACACAAGAGTTTGCTTTAGGTAAAATCATGAGAGTCTTCATTTCCTCTGACCTGTGAATTTTGCCTAAGGGAGGGAACACTATTTACTTTTGAGAGTTCAAGAAGACTGGTGATTGGGGCGCCTCACCCATGAAGCATTCTGCTAGAAGTGTAGGCCAGCATTTCCTGACACACCCCAGGCCTGGTGAGAACGTTTAACTCAAGTTCGCCTCTGGTTTTAAACTCAGCTTGTGTATCCATACTGCAGCTAGTGGAAAACTGAGTCTCTTGATCCTGGAGAATAGGAGCACCACAGTGACCCGTGCTCTGTATTGAGGCTTTATACATTTTGTTAGTCATCAGCGAGACAGGGTGTGATTGGATATGATTATTTAGTGACAGAAGCTAAATTTGAACTCAGGTTTCTGACATCAAAAGCCAGTGTGCTTTTCACTCTGCTCAGCTTATGGTTTTAGGATTGAATTCATTTGGAGGCAGTATGGATAACAAGCAAAAATAAAGAGGGGAAGAGTCAAATTTTGAGGCTATGCTGAAAGTCTAGAAGTGATGTGGTAAACACCAGATCAAGGCATAGGACTAGAATAATGGTAGAATGAAAGGAGAATCTTAGATTTTTTTTTTAAAGCAGAAGACTTTAGAAATTAACAGTTGAGTTTTGTTGTTGCACAGATGCAGCCTTGCAGGCCCTGAAGGGGAAATGACTTGTCTCCCCTGAGGCTGTTAATAGAAGAAGTGGGGCTAAAGCTCAGGCCTCTCACTGTTTGGACGAGCGCTTTTTCTCCCTACTGTCTGCCTCTCTTTCAAGGAAAAAGGTATAGGGTGCAGCAATGGGCTACAGGGAAAGAAAAGTAAAAAGCAAGGTGGTGATTGTCAGCTAGTGTATAATTTACTGTTTTTATTTCTAAAAACTGAGTACCTTATTTTTAAATTATGTATACTTCTCTATTTTCTGCATAGGAAATTTAAGTTTCAGTGTCCTCTTACAAATGTTTGAGACCATGCAGAATAAAATCTAATTAGTTACAAAAAAAGTGAGGCTCGGAGATGTAGGTCAGTGGTAGAGCACATACCTAGCATGCATAAGACAAAAAAAACAAAGTGGAAAGAGAGAAAAGATGATTAGGCTTATTTTATATATGTGGTTTGGGAGCAGCAGTGATTCTCTGATTCAGTAAACATTTAATGCTTCCACATCCTAGAGACAGGGAGTAGAGTAGCAAACAATGTGTAGTGAGTGACTCTTAGTACAGAGCTCTCATTTTACAAGTGACTTTCCAAGGTCATGTACTTAGAATCAGTTTAGTAATTTGGGGCTTTGCTATAATTAGGATTTGGTTTAAAAATTAAACTTTGAAAAAGTGAAAGTTAACTTCTATTTCAGTGGAATCAAGGAGGTTGCATTTAGAGAGACCCAGGTATCTAGCAAAACACTTGGAACTGCATAGAGAGCCACCTTTTTAATAGCCAGTTAAGGAAAAGTATTGCTTTTCAGAAAAGCTGTGTTTGGTTCTCACCAATATGGTTGGGTGGGAATGTAGATATAGTTCTTGGTCTCACTCTGGGTATGGAGGGGACTTTGAGAAGCTCTCATTTTGATTTTGAATAGCATTACTTCAAAACCACTGCATGGCAGATAGGAATCGGTCCTATTATTATAGAGCATGAGATCTCACAGCCACTCTAAATAATTTCTCCTTATCTTTAAGATCTCCAATGTCCAAATTCTTCACTGTTTCCTGTGGCTAATGTGAGCTCTAAAACCTTCTGCTGCTATTAAGTCCTAGACCCCTGGTTTTGTTCTGTACAGAGACTTGGAGTTGGTCATGTGGTCCTACCTGGGAGGGTGTCGGTAGAAATCTGATCCAGGTATCCTGGGCATCTTGTAAAACTTAATAGTTATAGAATGTACTTTTTCTTTTTAAATTTCTTTATTTTGTCTTTAGAAAATGCTAAATGAAGTTTTTGCAAGGAATTTCACATTAACTGAGAGAATTCCTTTCTTAGCTGTCTAGTTCTGTTAATATTCTCAGAAGTGACATTTAATATCATGATTTGGCAAATACTACGAACTTGTTTTGTTCGTGTTTGAATGTGGATATTTCTTCTGGAGGCATTTGTCAAAAGTACTTGTAGAATTTCCTTACTGTTTTGCTTCTTAGGTTAAGAGTGCCAAAGTTGGCCCTGCTACAATACATTTAAATCACAATAATTTAAATTAAATTAAAAATTAAAATCACATTAATTTATAGTTTATTTAACGTGCTCCATTTCTACTTCTTCCCTCTCCCTTTGGTTGTATGTTGTACTTATAAGTGAGGTTTATATTATAATTCATTTTCTTTTCCTAAAATGTAACAATCCTAGTATAATTGAGTGTGAGTAAATATCGGATAAGTAAATTTTAGTTAACTATTAGTGATGTGTACTTTGTAATTTACTATGATTTGATAACTTTAAAAAAAATCTACTGAAAGACTTTGAGTAAGCTGGGTGCTGGTGGCTCATGTCTGTAATCCTAGCTACTCAGGAGGATCATGGTTCGAAGCCATCCCAGGCAAATAGTTCAAGAGACCCTGTCTCAAAAAAATTGATCACAGAAAAGGGCTGGTGGAGTGGCTCAAGCTGTAGGCCCTGAGTTCAAACCCCAGGACCACCAAAAAAAAAAAAAAAAAGATTTTTGAGTAAAAAATAATTCCTCAAATCAATCGAAAATAGATGAAATAAATATAGGGATTCCAGTATAGCCTAGTTTTTGAGTAAGAATTTTCCTGTGATCAGTACCTGTATCTCCTTTGAGAATTAGGTCTGTGAGTTCATCTAACAGTTGGATCCTCACTTTGTAGTACTGGCCATTTGCTTTGAGAGTGAATGTAATTAGGCATGAAGGAAGTACCTTTTGTGTGTCTTGAATTTGTAGGTCCAGTGAAATTACAGTTGGTTATGACTGCTTTATACAGCATAATATCATGAGCTTAAAGTAACTTGAAACCAATTTCAAGATTAGAAAAGTAAATACTGTAATATTTTAACAACTTGAAGGTTTCAACTTTAGTAGAAAAATACATCAGTATACTTACATATTTTATGCTTCCTTCCCAAATGTCATACAACATTCATTTGAATATGAATGTGAAGTTGAACATTCTTTATTTTTAATAAGAAAGTATTAAAGAAGATCTAGAGGGATCTTTCAAATCCAGAGTTAAGTTTTCCAGGAAATTTTTTGTACTTTAAATATCAGAGAGATGAGAAATAAA